TCTCAAGACCACAGTTGATACCCAGTTAATTGATACCATCTTACAGGCTAGAGGTCAGGGTCTTGCCCTCTAACCACTGATCATAATTGTCTTCCCTTCCATCCAAACGTATCCTCAAGAGATAATGCCTAGTTCAAATAACTGTGACTATCCATACTAAATGTAGCTTCATAAAATTTACCCTTTTTAATAATATTAATTCCCATGTGATATCTGTGATTTGGGACTTCTGTTTTAAAATAGTTTTAATGGTCCTATGATTGTCCTGCATTCTCTAAATTGTTCAAAATATTCAAAAGGAAGTTTTGTGTAACTTCTGAGTTGAATAAGTTCAGTGATGTTAATATAAAAGAAGCTAAGAGAGAAAATAGGGGGGTAGGGTGCACAGTAACAAAACCAATAAGACTGCTGATCCCAATCATAAGGAATCACTAGCCAGTACATTTCCAATGCTTGTAATACATACTGTAGAAAGATTTAATGAGTTTATATTTTCCAGTATCATTCATTATTGCAACCATTCCCCATTTCTTCTACATGGAAACATGGATTCTCACACTTACTGAGCTATTTCCCCAGCGGGTCTTATAGGTGCATGCTTACAGCCAGTAAGAAGTTTCATAAAGCTACTGCTAAAGATGTAATCACATCAAAACTTCCATGGCGACTGATGCTACTTGAGTCTTCACTGGATTTTGCAATGTGGCATGATACTGAGCACATGCTGCTAGCTTAGCAACTAAGTCTGTTTCTGAGGAGCTCTTGTTTTCTTTGTTTCTTTGATGAATACTTACCTGTTATCTGGAATCTGGCCAAACCTCTTGGAGTTTGATGAATATATTCCTGAACATGAAACACTGCAAGAATATTTATTTTAGAGTAAAAAACAGCTTACACATGCTATGCCAGTAGATTTGACAGATTTTCATCTGGATGGGTATGTATATGCTTGTCAATTAATGTCTTATAATTGAGAGACTAAAAGATAAAGAGGCAACTTCTTCACTCTCTTCAGAGCTTGAGCACCTGCTTGGGTCCTCACCAGAGCTATGATACAAATTACAAACATCCTAAGTGAAACTCTTCTTTTTCTTTCAGATCCTTTCAGTCACTTGTCAAAATACTGCAGAGTAGATGGTTCCTTTGGGTGAACTTAGATAACTTAACATCTCTTCTAACTCCACTCCTTCATGTTTTCCAAAGGAGTCTCATGGGGTGAGACTGTCCACACTCATGTAGCCACCAAGCCCTCTCTCAACTCAGGGAGCAGACTTCTCTCTCCAGGACTGCATGACTCCAGCAGATCTCTGCCAGAAACCACTCCATTTCTTACTTTTTCAAGACAATTTAATCACATTACTATGTTATTTATACTAGAAAGAAATTGTATTAGTTGTCTATTAATATGTAACAATTTATCCTGAAATTTAGCTTGAGGAAAGTCATTGTATTCATTATCATTTGATTCATAACAATTTATCCTGAAACTTAGCTTCAACATTTAGTATCTCAGTTTCTGGAGGTCATGAATTTGGAAGAGGCTTAGCTACATGTCTCTGATGGTGGGCCTGTTATTAGCCACTCATTTGACTGCTGACATTAAACCTCAGTTCCTCAGTGGCTTTTTAACAGCAGTCTTAGGTCCTTGCTACATGGACCTATTTATAGTTCTCCTATGACATGGTGAAAGTGGGCTGAGAGAGAAGGGCAAGAGAGAAGGCATGGCCAAGTTGGAAACTGTAGTGTCTTTTATAACCAAATCTCAGAAGTGATAGTTATTTCTGCTGAGTTCTAATTGCCACTCAGAACCTGTAATTTGTGTGGACAAATTACACAAGGACATGGCCATTAGGAGATAGAAATCACTCAGGAGCAGCTTGGAGGCTGGCTATCACATCATTTAAACATAAGTTTGTGATATTAGTATGTCAAAGTTGTTAGATGTAATTCACCAGATATTGTGGGAGAAGGAGAGAAATTTCAAATACATTGTAAACAAAATAGGAGGAATCAATAATATATTGAATTTGATGAGGAAAAGCAAGAAATAAAAATCTAGAAGACAAAGAGATTTTGCATCTATGGATATAATTGTGATGACATGAAAACATCAAGAAAGTTGAGATGGAGGGAAATTAATGAATTTGGTTCTGAGAATGTCAAGTGTCAGGTGACAATAAGGTACTCAAGTAATATTTAGTTGATATTTGGAGATTTGAGCCTGTTCATCAAGAAAGAATTCAGAGATAAGGATAAAGGTCAGGGTATTATAGACTCTCCAGTAGAGGAAATATAATCTAGAAACAAAGCTGGGAACTAAGTAATTAAGGAATAGAAGGAAAAATTATGAGCAGAAAAGAAAAGGAAAGAAAAAAATCTTTCATGGATGAAAGGGAAATGGAAAAATCATTACATTTTAGTTCATGAAATCGTGGGAAGAAGGAAAGTTTCAACAACAGGTTCCCAAACATCAAAGACACGCACCCCCAAATAAGAAAACTGTTTCATCTCAAGCTAAGATGTCAGGATCTAAGCACTACTCACCCCTGGCATCCTGGGTCCCCACAATATCATTAACTGAGATTAATCTTTCTGAGCCTTTTACTCCCAGTTTTCAAAGAAAATAATTTCCCCAAACTTTTAGAGAAGCAAGTAGCCAATTAAATTGGAAACCAGATTGTGTAGCACTCACCTTCTGTCAGCACATCACTGCCTTCAGCTGTAAAATTGATTGATGTGATTCCAAATGGAAAAAGGTATGGGAGGTTAAATATAAAGGGAAAAATTTGACTGTGGATTCAAAATGTATGAAGGGGAAAATATCTGACTAAATATACTTCTACTTAAAATTTACTGAAACAAGCTAAGATATGAACAACATTTTGATTTAAATATCTTGTGTCTTTTTACACTACAATACAAAGGGCTGCTATTTATTTTATCATTATTATCTTACACAAAGTCATCTTACAGAGGTGGGTAGTGAAATTATCTCTCCTTTTGGCCATGATACCAGTTAGTAGTAGATGTTTTTAGTCATCCCTTTACTCTAACTCCCAGACCCTATGGAAACTTACCCCCCCCAGGGGGAAGTGAGGGTTTAAACTTAAAATAAGGGACAAGGAGCCAGAGCAGTCCCCTCCTTGTTGGCTGGGGAAGGGATAAATGAGCATTTAAGTCATTCAATATCAAACTAAGCAGACATCTCAGAAGTCCCAGATTTCCTTACCTGAAACATAGCCTTATATGAATGTGAATGAAAGAATGAAGGATAGTAAATACCAGAGACAGTGTGGTGGGGGTAAAGGATTTCTGCAGTAGCTATGTTGCTGGCAGAATCAGGACAGTATGTGACACTGCAGCCTGGGACTCACAGGCCCTAGAGAGAGGGACAAGAAAATGGCAATTGTGACAACTCTGGGCATTTTCATTCCCTACATCCCCAACAGCACCAGCTCCCACAGTCCAGGATGCAAAAGGGCTATAACTCCAGCCCTCCATTTACCATTATTTTTTCTTCTGTAAGGGAGGAAAAAATCATCTTCCCATACCCTTCAATATTCTTCTAGTTGGTCTTAGAATTAAATTGACATGAGAGAGAATAACAGAAGTGTATTTTTTAAAAAGTTAAATGACATGTATATATGGTGGCAATCTAAGAAAACTGAGTAATTTGCTAAGATGGCCCAAACCCTCACCTTAAATGCTACCTTCAGCAAAAGACAAAAGAAGATGCTGGCCATAGTGGTTTGAGACTTCAAATGGGAGGAAAGCAACTCACATGGAGATGGAAAATCAAGTGTTTGCTAAATAAATGTTTTCTTGGCCAGGCAGAGACAGAGTTCCCTAGGCTTCTCTGAGTTTCCCCCATCACACCCAGACCATGTTCTTTGCAAATATCTCTGGTAACATCTCTATTCCAAAAGCAGGTCCTTTATCTAAATTCTTTAGGGAGTTACAGGGGAGGTAAGAAGAAAAACTTCCTGAATCTTCTGTTTCTTACAAATAATCATTCTAAATTCATCCTCATGATAAAGAGACATTTTGGGTAGCCATATTTTGCTCCCCTATGTTTCAAATTGATGAGGCTATAGCAATGGCTGGTCATAAAATCAGCAACAGTATACAATTATGAACATAGCCTTTGAGGTCAGAAAATAGAAGCTGAAATCTCGACTCAGCAGCTTATTCACAGCATGGTTGGGATAGCTTCTTGACTCTCTAAATAGTTTCTTCAACTGTAGTAGTATGTAAGTTTAAACTTACATATAACTTTCTTGTGGAATTGTTGTGAATTTTAAAAATTGCCATTTACTGAAAAGTTTCCAAGTGCTTTGTAATCTGTGCAACAAACCCACAAGTGAGGGGACTGATGGAGAAGATGGGTTACATTACTGGTATTGAGAAGCTAGTGAATTACAGAGCTTGTTTCAAACTCAGATTTGCTTAATTCTGCAGTCTATGTATTTGGCCCTTGCCTGACAAGGAGCATATATATTTAAATATTTGCTGCTATCATTATTAAAGTTAAAGAGTGAAAACTGAAAAGCTACAAAATCACTAATGGCAAAATTAATAACTGTGTACTATTATTATTGCTGTAATAACAACAAATATATATTGAGTACCAGTGTATGTTCAGGGCCTTTGCATGACTCATCTTATTCACAAGTCAAACATCCTTCTGAGGCTAGAATTACTTCATAGGGTAATAATTAATAATCTTTACTAATAGACAAATTCCTTAGAATGAATAATATATATTATGTCAGAATTACCAAAGAGCAGACCTAGGTACATGTGGGACATGGAGAAATTAAGATCCCTAAGACAAGGTGCATTGCTCACCAGGCAGTTCTATAAGGATTAATCAGAAACCACTGCAGGGGCCCATAGACAGTGCAGTCTGAAAGGAATTCAGGATGGAAAACAAGACAATGTCACTCTGTGCTTCGGCCTTTAAATACTTATATGCATGCCCTAGGAAGAATTTCAGTGACCCCAGATTCTTATGTCTTCCCATATGTAGGAAAGCACTAAAATCAGTAACCTGAGACATCTGTTCTTTGTGATTAGCAATAATCTTTTACCAAAAATGCATGCTTGACTGCATATATTTCCTAGTCAAAAATCCTATATAAACTGGCTTCTCATCTCCTCTTCAGAGCTGTTTCCCCAGAGCTACTCAGCAGCTATCTCCTGGCTATAGCCTTCACTAAGACCTGGAATAAAACTGAAACTCACAACTCATATGTTGGGTGGTTTTCTTTAAGTTCATATACATAATGAAGTAATTTATTCATTGTCTCTAGTAAATGGAGGAGTCAAAATTCAAACTCATGCCTGTGTGACTGCAGAACATACATATTCTAGCACTAAACTATAATATATACTGCCTGCCACCACTTGAACTCAGCTGTTCTCTTTCTTAACTAGGGCCTTGTATTTTGTTTGTTTGTTTCTGTGCATGCACACGTACATATGTGTGTGTATGTATTCAAATAGTTGCATTCATATTTCAATATTCAAAAGTTGTATTCATAATGTACTTAACATTTCATGCTGCTTTTTCTTCTAGCATTCTCTCATAAGTTTTTCCCATATTCTCCTTCAATTTCCATAATTATATTTTATTTTATTTATGCATAAATGCCTATGTAATAATGTTCTAAAACTTTAAAAGGCATTCTCCTATGATTTATCATTTCATTTAGCTTGCATTCAATTTTTGCCTGACATAAACAGCTCTGAAATAAATTTATCCCTATATAACTTCTTTAGTTGTAAAATTGTTTTCCAAGCTAGATTTTCAGAAGATTCTTAAGGTACATGAACATTTGCATGACTTCTTATGTATAATACCAAAATGCTTTATTGAAATCATGCCACAACGTTCTCCAATACTAATTTCACAGGAAAATGTAAATAAGACAACTGTTAAGAGAGGTGATTTTGTTTTTGCTCATGAATATGCATGTCCTGATGTTGCTGTGACAGCTAGTAGAAAGCACATGGCTTGAGAGTATGCATTCAGTCAGAGGGTTGGGTTTATAGAGTTGCCGTGATCACACTGTACCCTGAGCTCAAGCAGCACATGTAAACATTTTGCCAAGCCTTTCTTATAATTAGAGGCCACTGAAGAGCACACCTAACAGACCTTGAATTCTATGCAGTCCACTCAACCTTGGGCTCATTAGTATCATGGCATAACCAACAGAGCTAATTTTCCAACTAATGCATCACAGCAGGTACTTAATAAGTTCCTGTTTCCCATCTAAGGTCTTTTGCTCAATCAGATATGCTGACATTCTCCCCTGCTCCTCAGGGTCCCCAATAACCTTAAACTACAAATCTTACAAACACATTTTCAATTTTCCCTAAGAGCTTCACAAGACTGACTCTTAAAGATCTTGTCATTTTGGAGACAATATAAATGCATTTTATTTTACCAGCACTCACTAAGCCATTATTTCTATGGTTCTATGGCATTTTTCATATCATTCTACCTAATTTCTCTGATATTTCTGAATTTAGAACTGATCTTGACTATATAAAATTGAAAACCCTTTAAATTAGTAATCATATACAATAAAATGTAAGTGTTTCATATACTTTGACAATTTAGCTTTGGTGTCAGTCTTACAATAGTTCTTTTCTCAGGTAGCTGCATTTAACTTTTCCTTCATTGAGGCTTTGTAGCTTTGGGAGCACAAATAACTTGCTCTGGGCTATACATTGACCTCTGGAGGGTGCTGATGGTCAGTCTTGGAAGGATACTGCCTTCAACCAGCTATTCAGAGAATAAGCAGTGAGGGAACGGCTTGAGCAGGAGAACATGAAGAGACTGTACATGCCTTTGAGACAATGTGGGAAATCCCAGAAAAAAGCTGAGGCAGTTTTGCAGAAGGCTGAGGGCCTACATTATGTGGATGAATTCAGGAGATGGGTAAATTTTGCTGATCACTGCTAAAACGGCTATAGACTCATGATGCTGCAGGAAATTCTAGTGAGGTACAGACCTAGATGTAACACAAATGTGGATGTCCATATGCAGGCACAGGTGCAAAATATGTATCAATGTGGTTATAGATGTAACTGTACACCTGGCAGGAAGCTGCCATCTCAGCTCTTCTTCTACATTTGTGTGCACTTATATATGAAGTGGAAACTGTAATTGCATTTTTTTCTCATTGGAAATCAAATATTTTTGTTGTTTTTGACACATATTAACTGAAAATAAGCAGCATTTATGGTGAATTGATATTTTAAATACATACCTGACAAAATACCTATGATTTGAAATGATATTCTCAGACCAAACAACCTGGTTTCAGACTGGTTTATATTCTATTCCTACAAGAAAGAAAGCAAGGTAACAATTTCAATGAGGAAACTTCCACACCATTGTGATTCTATAATGTCAGCTCCCAGTTATTCACAGATTAGACAGGTATAAATAAGTTATGATTAATTTGGGGCTTACTCCTTCTATCACTGAGTCCTAGTCTTGTTTAGGTTTTTTACTTCCAAGGGACATCTCAAGAGACAATATTCTGTGAAATACCAAGTTTTTAAACCTTATTAAAAATCTATAGAATATTTTTCAAATCATATCTATGTGTAATATGTTTGGCTTATTTGCTGCTATAATCTTTCTTATTAAAATGTTGATACTGTCATGAACACATAACAGATTTTTACACAGCTGGTCTAAGAATTCACTTTGGTCCATATGAAATACCATTAATTCAGTTATTTTCTTTATTTATAAAAATGTAAAAAATAGAATTCATTTCATATAGGAATTTCTGTTTTATTTAGAGCTCTGTGTAATTCACTTACGTTAATGTAAATGATTAATTTCAACTTATGAATTTTTTATATTGGTGAAACAACTGCATTTTTAAGGAAGCTAAAAGTTTCAACTTAAAATTTGAAGTAAGTTTTATGTCTTTAATGTGATAGTGTCACCTTGAGTTGTTTTTATACTCTAAGGTAAAATATATGCAATTATTTAAATGGGTGGGAAAATACCCCACAATAAGTGTTATTTGAACAGTCCATTTACAAATCCTTTTTGGTTTTACATAGGACACAGTTAATTACCAGGTAAAGTTCTCATGACACATTTACTCAAAAGCACTCTGTTATCAAAGGGACATTCTTTCTTTCTTTTTTCCCCCAGTTCTTTTTAACACTTATGAAGGAGCTATTAGGAGGCAGATATTTGCTGTAGGTGCTAATGAAACAAGGATGAAAAAGATATTGTCCCTTCCTTTAAGAGGTTTATGACACAGTAAATAAAACAAAATATAAGCATATTATCATAGTTCAATGTGATAAGAGCTAAGACAGAGGTATGGACAAAGGTTTTAAAAGGGTTTCCATTGTATACCTTTAATTATTTTTTATAGCACAAGCATTTGCTTCTGTTTTCTTCAGGGCATGAAACAATACAGTCCCCTACTTTTCTGTTGTTGGTTTTTTTCTTTTTTTTTTTTACAAGTCCTTCTTAGTCTTCAAGGTAAGCAGATGAGAGGGCTAATGTTAAATTTTCCTTCCCTATAATGATGTTGAGGAGATAGCATTTATTAACTTGCTTTAAACTACAGCAAAAATAAGAGCTTTTTTTAAAAAAGGCATTGCTTGTTTCTATCTAGGACTCTGCACTTTGATCTGTCCCTACTTTGAAGATGATTCTAAAAGGAAATTTCTGATATACTCAGGTAACAATATTTGCATAGAAACCCAGAACCCCCAACTGACAGGGATGTCATTCTTGCACACACACAAACACATTTTAAACTGATTCATGTTTGCACAGACAATAATGACAATCCAAGTGTTAATCTGAGATGTACAGTCCTTTCTGCTATGTAACTGATTGTTGCTTGGCAATGTATTAAGCTTTCAAATAGCTTTTTAAAAATGAGTCAAGAAATAATGCTTATATAGATTTGCACACTTGATGGTTTTTCATTTATGATAACTTAGTTTTCATATTTCTATATACTAAAATATAGATTTCTGATTGTCAATTCAAATTCTTCCCTTTCTAAAATATACAAAATTAACTTGCTTGTGTCCAACAATAATCAGTATCAAGGCTGCAAAGAGAAAAAGAGCTTTATTGTAGGTTTTAGTAATTGCCAATTAGGGAAACACAGATTCTGGTAAAACAGAAAATGTGTTCTGGGTAAGAGAAATGTAAAGGAGCTAATAAAGGCAAAAGCCATAGGTTGTTACAGTTGTCTTGCAAGAATTATGATCAGATCTCATGCAAAAAGGAAATATGTGTCCTTAAGGAATAGGCTGTCAGGAGTTATTTAGAGCAAGGGTCCTGTAGGTATCCTGAATTTCTGGAACATTGTACAAATATTCCGGATGCCAGTATTAAGACAAAAGTGGTCAAACTTTCTGATTCTATCCGAGCTGAGACTTGCATAAGTCTCACTTCCTCAGTGGCCTCCCAGCTCCATTTCAGAGCACTCTCTAACCAGTGACTCTGTTTTGATTTTCCTCTCACACTTGAATCTTTTGTATTGCTTTCCAAAAAGTCAAGATATTTTCCCTGTCATATAGTTTGACTATAAAAGTCATTTTTAACATATGGTAAGTCTTCTCTTACCCATCTAGCAAAAGTTTATCTAATCTCAGACCACAGTTACCTGTTACAGAAGCTTTTCTGAAATCATTTCCTAAAATGAGAGCCCTCATACAGAAAATAAAGATTCCTTATCTTTCCATACTCTCCATATTTTTGTTGATAGCCCTGATCTTGAAGTGTGTAATCAATTTTGGCTTACCTGTCTGCTCATCCCACTAGCCTGTGCCTCAGTACCTTGCATAATCCTGCGGCTAGTCCCATTCATCATATTAGTCAATAAATCACTAGATAGTAAAATAACAAATTTAAAGATAAAACATTTCATGTTCTGTTCAATGCTTTTATGTAAAACATCATGATTAGAGTGATAAAGTGAATTTTAAAATTAACTAGAATAACAGAGGCCATATTTTTAAAAAAGAGGAAGAAGGCCTTTTGTGCTCACTGTGATGTCATTATGTTAAAAAATAAGCCAATAGAACTAAAGAACCATAGAGGAAGTTTTAGGATTTGTCTCATGAGCTTTGCATGCTCATTAGATTTTGAATTAGGACTTTGCAGTTGTCTTTTTTTTTTTAACAGAGATTTAGTTGTAGTTTATAGAAGTGAAGAAGAAGCAGGGTATAGTAGGAATTGATGAGGGAGATTGCACTGCTAAGAACTTTGGTTTATGGCAGTGATAAACATAAGTGAAACAATCTTGAAATTGACTTTTATACAATGAACAAATGGTATGCATAAAAATATTTAGAAGTAAAAACTGTAACATGGGGAAATACTTATGCTATTATGTTAATTGCAAAAGGGCATACATCTTCATGAACATTACTCATCTATGGGACAAATATTTACTAACCCTACTATGTGCACAATACTTCACTACTTTCTAGGAATGCAGTGATATTTGAGTCTGAGTCTTTGCTTTTTTAGAGTCTATAATCTCATCAGAGTAGGGGCAGAGGTGGAAGGCTGAACAAATGAAGGCAATAAAACAAATATTTAAAACAAAATGTTTTAGGTCTCAGAAGGGGGAATTACACGGTGCCTCAGTGACCACTACATAGCAATAAATCTAGATTGAAGACCCAGGGAAGTGTCCTGGGAGGAGAACTTGCAAATGCATTTCAGTTTAATTTGTCAGGCAATTCCATTGTGCCTATGTAGGAGAATAAAACTTTATAGAGAGGAGTTTGTTTTGTTTTCTTCTTTCTATTTTTGTGTACATTTCAAACTATAAATATTTAGTGGACATGGCTTCTATAATAGGAAAAATAAGTTAATTGAAATAACAAAATTACAATAAGGGAATATAGGTTCACAGACAATACTTGAGGGTATCTATGGTAGAATAAAGGGTAGAAATTTACATAGGAAGAATTTCCAGGGGAGCCAAGTTAGGAACTGGGTAAGTGTGTGTGTGTGTGCATAATGTTGATTTTATGCGGTAGGACAGGATGGAACAGGAGATGTAGTCAGAATAAAACTAAAATATCTCCTAAATGACAACATCAAGAAATCTACTGCCCCACGTCACAACTGATCTCAATTTTTCTTTCTCATTTTTTTCTCCCTCAAGAC